CCCCCCCCCCCCCAGAACAGACCATTCAAAGGAAATGCCTGGCGTTCCAATCGTTGTAGATAGGATCACCTGTCAGCGCACATTCACCAGGACACCCTAGACAGATGTCAGCCAATCAGAGGTCCTGGACCTCAGAGACCCCTCACCCCCACCGTAACTACTATACAAACCCAGTTCTAATTGAGCTCGAGACTCTCTGGATATTCCAATACGTTGGACGTGCAGAGAGACCAAGTTTGCAAACTTGATTAAAATAAAGGCTTTTTGCTTTTACATATGGGGCTCCGTCTCCTTTGTTGGCTTTTGTGGGGACCCGACAGATTTGGGCGTAACATTTGGGGGACATCTGGGGGAACTACCACCCGTAGAGCCTTGTTTTAACAATTGTTTTGACTTTTGAGACAGTGTTTCCCTGTGTAGCCAGCCCTACCTGTTCTGCCCCGCAGATTTGGGCATAACACTTCTCACCGTCTGGAAGCATTACATTTTCTCTGATTTCTTGTACCTCAACACTCCGATTAATTCATATTAGAATCCAGTAACATGGCCACCCTGCTGCTTTCCTAGATTCACCTCCTTTGAGCCTTTTAACCATGATCCACTTCTAAATTCAACTCCTTGACCCCATTTACTTTCATCGTGTTGGTTTAGAGGGAAGTCTGTTCCACTGGAAGTAGGCTTCCTGCAGCCTCCCCAAGAATGTACCTAGAAGAGATTGGGAAGATTTCAGTATTCACATTTTAGAAGGCTCTGGGAGTAGAGGATGTGTTTTAAAAGTTTCAAGGTAACAATAATGCCCCCCACACACCAAATACAAACTGAAATCTAAGCTTTTAAACCTCTTGAAATTTCATACAGCAAATTGGTTAGCCCTATTTCAACCATTTCGGGTTTTTGGATTTTTTTGGTTTTGGCCTACCATCATGAAATTGGCGAATATTCGGACCAAAATCTCTCGATCACATCAAAGGGATTTGAAAGAAGCCCAATATGTAAATTATAAATCCCCAAATGCCAGAATGCATAGACATACTTGTAAGATAGCTGTTGTGGCCGGGCGATGGTGGCACACGCCTTTAATCCCAACACTCGGGAGGCAGAGGCAGGCGGATCTCTGTGAGTTCGAGACCAGCCTGGTCTACAGAGCTAGTTCCAGGACAGATTCCAAAGCCACAGAAGAAACCCTGTCTCGAAAAACCAAAAAAAAAAAAAAAAAAAAAAAAAA